CCACCAGATTCCAGCCCCACTTCACGGTGCTTTAAGGGCCAATCCGTTCTTTTTATCAGTCAAAAAATTGCACACGTAAAATATGCGCTCAGACCGCCTTGTTAATGTAAGACCTGATGTCATGGAGCGCTCAAGAATAGTTTTTCAGGAACATCGTCATTTTTGTCCACCTATTGGCCAGCGCTTAGTATCAGCTGCTAGGCAGACGCTGCGCACCCTATGGGGACTGCAACGCCGGGGGCCGAGGCTTGCGTTTCTTAGATTTTAGAGTGCGCATGCTCGTAATTGCGCCACATAACTGGTATTAATAGTTGATTGCAGTGTTTAAAGGTAATAATTTCAGGAGCGTCCTCCGGGCCACGGCTAAAGGTTAGCACTACTGGGCTAACGCTCCGCGGATAATGGAGACTGCAATGCCTGGTGTCGAGGTTTTTGTTACGATTTGAGAGCGCGCATGTTAAAAAACATGTTACATAACTTGTACCACTAATAAGTTTTAACCGAATGGTGGACACAATCAAATTTTCATCTTCAAATTTGGATCAAACACATCGATCTACGATCTGCCTTCGCGATGTCCTCAATGTTTAGTGTTCGAGTCTGTCTCCGCGAAGGTGCCCAAGATTCGGCGGTCGGAACTATGACTGTAGACTGTATTTCTGTACTTCGCCAGACGCTCTGCCATCTACCGTTCGGTCTAGATACTACTACTCGCGCGATATACTCGGTACTCGCACCCGCCCCCCCCCCCCCCCCCACACACACACCAGTCATTCAGCCCGCGGGACGCGATCGAATGACGAACACAATTTCATTTTTTATATACGCGAGGGATGAGAGTGTACTCTAGATAATTGAACACAAGTATGGCGGGAGACGCGACCGCGGGCCGGTGGGAAGACGGCGGCGGAGCGCGGAGGCTACAGTGCGAAAATAAAGTGCGGGGTCGAATACTAAATCTATAGAAATACTAAATCTACCGCACACGGTGTGCCTGGCCACTCACTCACATGGTCTCAGTTAGATGTTCGCGACGCCGGGTAGCCGTGCAGACCGTCGCGGCGGCGCCGGGAAGACGTCGGACGTCGCCTCTCCAGCCGGAGTTGGACCTGTGGTCGGCGCACTCAGGCGTCCCGAATCCCCCGCGGGGACCGGCTCGGGCGGGGGCGGTGTGCCCGCCGCGGCCGCCGGCGCCGGGGGCGCGGCCGCTGGCAGCTGCGAGAGCTCGGCCGGGTCTGGCCGGCTGGGGGCGTACCGCTGCCGGATGTGACGCCGGTTCCGTGTCAACACCCGGCCGCTGGGCAGGCGGATGAAGTAGCGCCGGTGAGGGCCGATCTTCGTGATGATGCCATACCGGTACCAGCGGCCAGTGGCTGAATTTTGGAGAGCGACTGAAGTCCCCGTCCGAAGGACTTTCCAGGCACCGTCCGGCTGCTTTTGTTGCAGCAGAAACCCGAGCCCCTGGAGTGGGCTGGCGTCCGTAGGCGGACGGTCGGAAGACAGCGCCTCCCTCGCCGCCTGGATCGCCACCTCGTGACAGGTGTCCCAGATAAAGGTTCTCTTTGCGCTCAGTAGGTGGCGCAACGGTTCCAGCAGCTTAGTCGTCTCCTCGTTCAATGGCGCCACATGGTTGACGAGGCCGAAAAAGCTCGTCAGTGAGCGATTTCGGTGCAGGGAACGCCGCTATGGCGTTCGTCAGGGCCTGGTCCGGCACGTAGCCGTCTTGGGACGCGATGAAGCCGGCGAATCTGACGCTGGTCTTTATGTGCTGCGTCTTGGAGGGGTTCGGGGAGACACCGCGGGCACGGCACCTCGTCAAAAACTTCCGGACTCGGGTGACGTGTTCTTCTCGCGTCTTGCTGAAGATGATGACGTCGTCCACGACACGTTTGATGCCGTCCACGTCCCCGAACCACTCGTCCATGCGCCGATTGTAATGCTCGCTAATTGACGAGACGCCATAGGGCACGCGCAGATAGCGGTAGCTCCCGAATGGTGTAATGAACGGCGTCAGCTTTCGGCTGTCTTCGTCTAGAAGACACTGGTGATATCCTTTGGTGGCGTCGAACACGCTAAACCATTAAGCGTCCGACGCTGTGATGGATGCGACACACTCAGCAGGCGTGTTACATTGGCACAGCTCCCGCCAACGGACCTTTTCAGCTTTGAAAGGCCCACACAGTCGAATGTCCATGCCGTCCTTCTTAGGGGCCACTACGATGGGCGCGCACCACTCAGTTGACTCTATAACGGGCTCGATGGTGCCGTCACGCTTGAGTTTTTCGAGCTCGTGGCGCAGGGGCTCTCTCAGAGCTATCGGCACCCTGCGTGACGAGCGCACGGCGAAGGGGGTGGCGTCTTCTCGCAGATGGATTTGGTATTCTTCTCCTGGCATGGTTCGTGCTTTGCCGTCCAACACGTCGGAAAACTCGTGAAGTGGCGCTGCATTCTCGGTCACGTCGGAAGAGATGTGATCGTGAGGCAGCTCTGAGGCGCTTGGGGACGCTGCGTGCTGCAAGGGGATTGTAGAGGGCAGCGCCGATCGGGCGGTGTGGTCCGCTGAGGAGGGCCGGCCGGCCCGTCTCCGCCGTCACCGTCGTCGGAGGTCGGCCATCCGACGGTCCCTCCCCCGGCCGGGCGCTCGCGGCGTCCCGTCTCGTCTCCGGTTTCGGTAGGGGAGGGCTGACTGCGGCGCGGCGCGCGCATCTCAGCCGCGGCTGGGTTGGGCGGCGGCGGCTGACTAGCGGCTGCGCCGGGCGGTCCGGCACCCCGACTGACTGCATTTATCTGCCGTGGGTAATTGGGAGGTACAATACGAAGACGGACGGCAGTGCGCCACGAGAGGAGGAGTCGTGACACTCCTGGGATGATATGCACCGTGTCAGACACCGCTACGTCGCCCAGGATGATTCGGACGGGCAGACTCCCGCGCGAGCGCGTCACGTGTCCGTCCACAGCGCGGGGATGGGTCGACGGCGGCTGGAAGTTATCGCCCATCTCGTCAATGAGTTCGGCAAAGTCTAACCCAGCGACTGACACGTCGGCTCCGGCGTCCGGAAGCGCCGTCATCTTGGCCGTCTTACGACCTGACACGGACACGCTGACAGTCGGTGCGAATCCCGTTGATGCGGTCGCGAGCGTAACCACAGAGGCAGATGTCTCATGTGACTGGCGCGCGTTGCGGCACATCCTGGAGGTGTGACTCGTTCTGCCGCAGTTGTAGCACGCCCGATCCGCAGCCACGCAGAGATCAGATCGTGCATGACGGGTGCCACAGTTTCTGCAGACCGGGCGCGCGGAGTCCATTTCTCGCTCGGAGCCGCCCGCACCTGACGCTCGGCGGGGAGGGGTGGGGCTTCGCGACTGGAGCCTGACACCGCGCGGAGTCCTGGGGCCCGAAGGGCGGCCGGCGCGCCGGCCGACCGGGGCGCAACACGCATGAGCAGCGTTTTTCATGTGAAGTACATCTAGAAATGACGCTTTAGTCATTGCCTGGAACATCTTGATTTTATTCTTGGTACTGATCATCTATGACTTAAAATTTAACCGTCTGAGTTTTGATCAGCTCTCAGCACGTGTTGGATATGGGCTGTTTTTATAATACCATATTGAAGAATATTCCACCTCATTCAATGATACTCACTACTGACCACGAAACATTTTTGATATTAGCTTGCTACTGCTGAAAACCCATCCCATACCAATCACAATGCTGGTGTATCATGCCGGAAACTGTCATTAACTCACACTTATTTGTTATCTGAATTTGTTTGCAATTATTAACCCGAACTTATGATGTCTGCATGATACTGACAATCGAGCAGTCAATACTGGCATCCAGAATTGCCCACTGCTGGTGTCGATTTCGCCAAAAAGATTTTCGGACATAGCGCGACTATAATTTCATTTCATATTCCGTCTGCTTTCAGTATGTTTTCGCAGCCCACAAATGCAGGCAAGCCTTACCGTGCTCAACTTTGACAATCAGCGACTGGTGCCCGGCGTGGCACCCCCAGCCGGCTCCATTCCGTCATGGAGCAGACATAGATTTGTTACTAAGCTAGTAATCCGGCCGGCCAGCCACAGCCGCGTGATATTCGTGATGGTGTCGACTGTATGCGCGCGGTCGGCGCTGGGTGGGGCATCGCCGCCTGCCAATAAAGGCGATTATTCATACCTTGAGGCCGATCTAGCAACTAGTTTGGAAGCTTTGATCTTTGGACATTCTGCACCTTGGACAATATGTACATTGGACATTCCGCACTTCGGCCATTCTGCACTTTGGACATTCTGGACATTGGGGCATTATGATACGGACCCACCCACAACAAAGTCAGTTGTATGTGACGTCCAGCGCCTGCTGACGATGCTGCCAGGATTTTTTGTCGGGTCGGTATCATATTGTCCCAGGTACAGAACGTCCAAAGGTTCAGAATGTCCAAAGTACAGAATGATTAAGGTGAAGAATGTCCAAAGTTCATAATGCCCAAAGCACACAATGTCCAAAATGAGAAGTAACTTCCAACATGGTGCAGAGGGGAAGGAGTACCATAATGCCGAATGTACAGAATGTCCAAGGTACAGAGACATTCTGTACTTCGGACATTCTATACCTTTGGACATTCTGTACCTGGGACAATATGAACGCCTCCTTTTGTGGTCATGTGACGTGCACAGGGAGGATACTGAGCATTGATTGGTGCTGACAAACGTGTTAAGGACAGCTCGAACGCGGTCTGAAGCTCCCAGGTTTATCTCCAGATATGGCGTCAAGAAAAATCTTCAGGGAATGGGATCTAAAAATGCGCGCCGTCAGGAGCAGAACGCTACGCGTACGGCTAAAATAACGTTGGGTGGTAGTGGTTTGAGGGCAGTGGCTAATCAGCTTGGGGATTGGTTGCCTGCATCAAACACAACATGGGCAATTTTGACAGCGTGCCAGCGCATCATAGGTAGCTTCGAACAGGTCTTTGGTAGATGTTGTGGTATGGAAGGTACTATGGAGGCGCAGCTTTATTTACTTCATGTTTATGTACAATCGTGACCTATTTTATATAAGTCAAATAAAGCTTGATATTGCTGTTGTAAGTCAGTTAGTGTCCACCTTGGTAGCTGCGGTAAGTGGGGTTGCGGGCGCTATGGTGCTGTATTGGGAAATATACCACCATTATTTGGAACAGTTGACGTCAGGCCAGTCGTGCGTGAAAAGAATGTTAACGACCAAAGCAGCGGGGCTCTGCGTCGGGCAAAGTTTTTTTATATTTTTTGCTGTGAAGCTCTGATCTGCAGCATCAGACAGATCAGTTATGTTGAGAGGATACAGGATGCAGGTGCTATTGATAACTGCAGCACACATTTTTCACTATTTTTAATTTCTTCCCCTGTTAATGTATTGGCTGTGCCATGTGAATTCACACTCCCTTTATGCTCTTTCAGCTTCTATGTTCTGGTTGTGTTGTGCTGTCAGGAATGTCAGATGTAGGCAAAAGCCAGCCTTAATGACCTCAAAATGGAGGGTAGTTATGCACAGGGATTTTGGTCTTGTTTTACCCTGATCCTGTTATTGATGTGTAAGAGTTACCCACACATGTTCCTTAAATGTCAATCTGAAGATTTACCATTACTTGCATATTGGTATACCCCTTCCTCCCTGTGGCATAACCTTTACTTCCCAGTGTACAAAACATCTTGCTTGTCATGAAGGCAGGTCCACCATCAGGAAAAACTTGGACTAGGAAAAATGAGAATTATCAAAAGACAACAAAGCAATGTCCTATTTGTTGCTGACCTAATGATGCTTGTTTTCAGGTCAGTATTGCAAGTTGTAGTTGAATGTCAAGAATATAATAAACCATAAATATAAGTTTCAGGAAGTCCCAATGGCTGCAAGCAGGGATCATACAATTTTTGTACAAAGTGACCTTTTTGAAAAAGGTTTTCCAGTCATGGAAGAAAAAGAAGAAAGGGAAAGCTGTGTGATGTTACACTTAAGGTATAATGATGGAAGGATATGATGATGATATGATGATATATGATGTTACACTGAAGGTATATTCCTGTCATTGGAGACATTGGTCAGATTATGGTTCTTATTAGCAAAAGAGGGATATGTCATGCAATCAACATAATAATATATGAGCAGGTACCAACCTGTACTGATCAGACTGTGAGAGCCAGTTATTGGCAGCCTGCATACCACTGTGTTCCAGGTGGATGGTCAGTCCTTCACTGCTCACAAGCTTGTTCTGTCTGCCAACATACCATACTTCAATGCCATGTTCCTGCATGACATGGTGGAAAGCAAGCTATCAGAAATAGAGATGAAGGAGATTGACACCAGGTATCATCATTCTGTGTTCAAATATTGGAGTGTCACATGAATATTATGTGTGTACATATTATGTGTTCACATTTGTGAACTGCATAAGGCTAAAATAATGGTGGCCAGGCCTGGAGACAAAGCCAGGGGCCTGGCTTTGCAGCTATATGTGAGGCCAAGATGGTGATATGAAGTTGAAGCTGAGGTTGGTAACTGTGGAGTTGAAACTACAAAGGCAATATTGGTAATAGTCACTTTGTATTTTAAAAACATGAAACAGAATCTGAAGCCCATGGCTTGAAAGCTCTAACCTTGTGCATGCAAAGATGAAGCCAGCAGCTCCTTATGTAGAAAATGTGAGACCAGACTCAGGCCACCATCACTTCTAGATCATGAGGCTATAGCAGAAACTTAATCTAGAGCACAACATTATGTTTGGCAGCAAAAACTTTTCAGACTTTCCATGTCTGCTAATGCCATGTAGAATCAGGAAAGACAAGGATCTAGAGGAGTGATTGAGACAAGGTTTTCAAACTGTCTCCATCATCTTCCATGTTCTTGTGTATACTTTGTTTCATATAGGAAGTTGTCTGACTGTCCCCATGTCTTTGTTGGGCCTAAGAATGAATGGATGGTTTTGGCTTTCAGCCATGTATCCATCACAGTCAGGAAAAGCTGTGTGTTATTGGGGTTAAATTGACAGGCAAAGTCTATTTTTACTACGTCATGGGTATCTGCATGGTTTGGCAAGATAACAAAGATGAAACATTTTAAATTTGCTTCAAGGCAGAACTGAAGCCATGAGGCAAAAGTTGTTAATAGGAGAAGCTGGAACCATGTGATAAAGATGGTTTGAGGCCACTGAAGACAGCCATGGAAAATGGCTGAAGGCCAAAGCTGAATCTGAATCCAAAGTCATTGGAGGATAATTTGTGGCTTCGCGAAAGCAAGGTGTCGAAACTAGCTCCGCCCCCATGTCTGACTGTGGCACAAGTGGTGATACTTACCGACATTTGTATCATTTGATGTACATGTATTTCTTTACATGATTGTTGTGTTCATTAATGCCTTACTCGCCACCTACTCCTTTCAGCAGTTCTGCAAGTTTCTTCATCATTGTTGTTTTGTTCTCCAGTGCATTGGAATCGCTCATCAACTTCGCCTACAGCGGTCGGATTCTCATAAACAACAGCAACGTGCAGAACCTGATGATGGGTGCAGCGTTCCTCCAGCTGACGGCCGTCCGGGATGCCTGTGCTAAGCACCTCATCAAGGAGTGAGTGGGGCAGGATGGTCTTGGATGGCCTTGCCACTCGAGTCCATTGCTAAATGAAATGGGTGGCATACTAGAGGGCTAGATTGTGCACATGGTGCATGCACATAGATCATGCATTTTAGTCCACTGACGTGATGGGATGATTTCAACCTTCTCCTGTCCTTACATCCCTTCATGTGGCTGCCCCCCCCCCCCCCCCCCCACATTCCTGTTCCATGTAATGCAATATCCAGCTTTGTGCATCCTCTGTCCACTTGTGCTCTGAGAAGAGACCTCATTGGCACCACCACATAGTGACTGGGTGTGTATGACTGCCCCTCCCCCCCCCCCCCCCCCACCCATCCATCATCATTAGACTGCGTCTGTACGCGGAGACCGGCGGCGGCGAGCAGTGACTGGGCACTTGTGTCTGCCAGGCTGGCGCCCGGTAACGCGCTGGGCATCCGCAAGTTTGGCTGCGACCTGCACTGCACGGCGCTGGTGAAGGCGGCCGACGCGTACATCCAGAAGCGGTTCGGCGCCGTCACCGAAGGCGACGAGTTCCTGCAGCTGGAGGAGCGGGAACTGCGCGACATCATCAGCAGGGATGAGCTGCACGTCGAGTCCGAGGAGTTGGTACGCGCGCCGGCGGGCTCGGGGAGGGGCGCGTATGGGACAGCGGGTGCACGCGCGGCGGAGACGACCAGGGAACGGACGGCATTGGAACAGGAGCGACTGCTCACGGACGGAGGGAATAGGACAGCAGCAGGCAAGCAAACATAGAAACCGCACAGGAGCTGGTGTGTGCACGGACACAGAGTGGGTATGAATAGCAAGGGGACTAGTGTGGATTTGAGTGACGTCGTGGCCGTAACATGAGCACCAACGGTGGCGGGACGGTAGTTGGCACTGGCTGTAGTGGGGGCTGCTTATCAGTGACGAGCAGCGGAGAATGTGTTGACTATCCCATAGCCAGCAGCGACGGAGGGCGTGGTGGAGCGCCGGGCCGCCCGCCGCGCGGCGAGGCCGGCGGCCGGGCCGGTCCCGCTGACGCCGCGCCCCGCCGCCGACGCCAGGTGTTCGAGGCCGTACTGCGGTGGGTGAAGCACGACACCGAGCAGCGGCCCGAGTGTCTGGCCGGCCTGCTGACGCTGGTGCGCATGCCGCTGCTGACGCCGCAGTACCTGACCGATCACGTGGCCACCGAGCCCCTGATCCGCAGCTCTCACCTCTGCAGGTCGGTGTAGTGCCCTCTCACCTGTGCAGGTCAGTGTAGTGTCCTCTCCCCTTTGCGGGTCAGTGTAGTGCCCTTTCACCCCTGCAGGTCGGTGTAGTGCCTTCTCATCTCTGCAGGTCAGTGTAGTGCCTTCTCACCTCTGCAGGTCAGTGTAATGCCCTCTCACTGCCGTCTCCGGTCACGGGCGGACGCAGCCCGCGTTTCACGCATGACAAGCCAGCTAGCCGTCCCAGACAAGCCAGCCAGCCGACCTTCCCGTGTTGGGACGTAGTATATATGGCCGGTAGCGGGGTAGTCATTGCCGGGCTGACATTCCGTCACGTACTGCCGCCGTGTGACCAGACCTGGTGCTCACCCTCCTCCGGTTGCCCTGGCCGTCGTGTGACCAGACCCTGGTGCTCGCCCTCCTCCGGTGCCCTGGCCGTCGTGTGACCAGACCCTGGTGGTCGCCCTCCTCCGGTGCCTCGGCCGCCGTCGTGTGACCAGACCCTGGTGCTCGCCCTCCTCCGGTGCCCGGCCGTCGTGTGACCAGACCCGGTGCTCGCTCCTCCGGTGCCTGGCCGTCGTGTGACCAGACCCTGGTGCTCGCCCTCCGGCGGTGCCTCGGCCGTCGTGTGACCAGACCCTGGTGCTCGCCCTCCTCCGGTGCCCTGGCCGTCGTGTGACCAGACCCTGGTGCTCGCCCTCCTCCGGTGCCCTGGCCGTCGTGTGACCAGACCCTGGTGCTCGCCCTCCTCCGGTGCCCTGGCCGTCGTGTGACCAGACCCTGGTGCTCGCCGCCTGTGCCCGGCCTCGGTGCAGCCGTGCCTCGGCCCGCCGTGTGACCAGACCCTGGTGCTCGCCCTCCTCCGGTGCCCTGGCCGTCGTGTGACCAGACCCTGGTGCTCGCCCTCCGCCGGTGCCGCGGCCGCCGTGTGACTAGACCCTGGTGCTTGCCCTCCGCCGGTGCCGGGGCCGCCACGCACCGCCGACTGACGGCCGGCCTGGTGTTGTCCGGCCGCAGGGACCTACTGGACGAGGCGCGTGACTACATGCTGATGCCGGAGCGGCGCGCGGCCATGCGCAGCTTTACGTCACGTCCGCGCTGCTGCATCGACATCGTCGGTCTGATGTACGCCGTCGGCGGCCTGGCCAAGAGCGGTGAGGGCTCCGGCCGGCTGGAGCTGCGACCTGTCCGGTCCGCCGTCCCAGCGAGCCGCCAGCGGGCGCACATGCACACCCGCCCGCTGTGGCGGCATGCGTCGGGACCTGGGCTTTGGACGGTGGGGAGTACCTCGGTGGTGCGGTTCGCTCTCCACGTCCGGCGTGAGGCACCCTGTCGGAGCACGCGCATCCATCGAGCCTGTGCCAGACTGACAGTCGTTATGTTCGGCGTGTCTGCATAGCGGTATCTCCGTACGTTCACAGAATTTAGGGGCAGACATTAGCCGCCGTTTGTGAACATCCCTCGCGCTTGAATTCCTCCCGATCTGATCCCGTCGTCCGATGGCGAGCTATGTCGTGCTCCAAGCCTGTGATCTCTGACTGGTCACTCTCCCCTTTGTGACCGCCCCTCCCACTGTGGCTGTCTTTTCCTCTGTGACCATCTTTCCCGCTGACCATTTTTCCTCTGTGACCGCTCCTTCCCCGTTCTGTGGCCGGTCGGCTGTTACGTGACTTTTGCGACTGGCTACCCCCCCCCCCCCCCCCCTGTGACGGTTCATCCCACTGTAACCGGTCGGTCGGTCTGGGACCGTCCGTTCCACTGTGACCGTCTTTCCCTCCGCGAGCGTCCCCCTCCCATTGTGACCGTCTTCCTCCGTGACCGTCTTTCCCTCCGCGAGCGTCCCCCTCCCATTGTGACCGTCTTCCTCTGTGACCGTCTTTCCCTCCGCGATCGTCCCTCCCGTTGTGACCGTCTTCCTCCGAGACCGTCTTTCCCTTTGACCCCCCCCCCCCTCGTCCTGTGACCGGTCGGCTGTTCTGTGACCTCTGTGACTGCCCCCCCCCCCCCCCGTGTGACCGTGCTGTGAGCTGCGGCCGGCGCGCGCAGGAGGATCGCTGAGCACGGTGGAGGTGTTCCACCCGGTGACCGGCCGCTGGACCATGGCCGAGAAGATGTCCGGCAACCGGTCCCGCGTCGGCGTGGCCACGATGAACGGCCGCCTGTACGCCATCGGTGGATTCAACGGCACCGACCGGCTCGCCACCGTCGAGGTGTTTGACCCCAGGTCACGCACCTGGGAGGAGGCCAAGCCGATGAACTACCGGCGCAGGTCAGCCGAGCGTGCGCGCCTGCCGCTCTGTCCCGCCGCTGCTGTCGAGCTCTGTAGATATACCGTAACGCTTGTGACGGATCTGCGTGTGCAACAGCAGATGTTGGGTTTCTGGGGTCATTAGTTTCATTTGATGGGGAGGAGGTATCTTCCATTAATCAGGGATGTCCAGATTGTTATATCAGCTTTCCTTTTCTGTTTGCATATGTGGCGCAGCGTTTCGTCCGCGTCCGACGTTAAAGGGTTCACGACTATTCATTCATGCTCACGGACAGCGCGCTGGGTGCTGTGACGCTCAACCACGAGATCTACGTGTGCGGCGGCTACGACGGCAGCACGTCCCTCAACTCGGTGGAGAAGTACGACAGCAAGCTGAACCGGTGGACGCCCGTGACCTCGATGATTCGCCAGCGCTCGGCCGCCGGCGTCGTGGCCTTCGAGGGCAAGATTTTCGTGCTCGGGGGTCATGACGGTCTCTCCATCTTCGAGACGGTACGGGCCGGTGGCGCGCGCTCTGCAGTCTTCCTGTGTGTCGTGTTGAGTGTGAGCAGTTCACAGTGCATGATATCCTTCGGTCCAGTGCGCAGGGAATTACCCCAATTTAAAATGACATTCCATCTAGACCTTAAAACTTACCTGGAATGGCATGGTCGCCAGGGACATGCTGGGTAAGTTATGGGCAAGGGTTCGATGTCCTCCCGTTTCACGGTGAAATCCGCTCTCTCCTGTTCTGTTGGAGGACGTCGATGCTATCCAGTGCATGCGTGCTTCGTGTGAAGTGTGGCAGCCACACAGAAGGGTGCTGAGTGTCGCTGACGCTGCCGTGGCACGTCCACGGTCACCGCCAGGTGGAGTGCTACGACCCGCAGAAGGGTGCTGAGTGTCGCTGACGCTACCCGTGACGCGTCCACGGTCACCGCCAGGTGGAGTGCTACGACCCGCAGAAGGGCGTCTGGTGCTGCGGACCTCCGATGCTCACCAAGCGGTGTCGGCTGGGCGCGGCGGCGCTCAACGGCAAACTGTACGTGTGCGGCGGCTACGACGGCTCCGTTTTCCTGCGCACCGTCGAGGCATACGACCCGGTCACCAACAGGTGGGCTGTGCGCCGGCGGCCGGTCGCTGCCGTGCCTCCGTCCCCGGGCACTGGGCCGATGAGGCGCGGCTGGGCCAGCCCGCGTGGAGTGCCCGGGACGGAGGCGGTGGGAAGTACGGTTCTACAGGGCGCTCGCTGTCTGTTTGTAGGTCCCCGTCGCTCGTGAGATACCAGTTGAGAGGTCTCCCGTCTTATCTTGGTCTTTATGAAATAACGCCTGCTTTTCTGGGCGCAGACAGCTTCGTTGCACTTCCCTTCCCCCTCCCCCCGCGCTGCCTCGGCGAGGCGTCTGGGCTGACCACGCACCACCCGTGTGCCTCCAGCTGGAGTTACGTGGCGCCGATGAACGTCACCCGCTCCCGCGTCAGCCTGGTGGCCGTCATGGGCCGCCTGTACGGCATCGGCGGCTACGACGGCTTCGCCAACCTCAGCACGGTGGAGGTGTACGACCCGCAGCGCGACTGCTGGGAGCCGGCCGCCTCCATGTGCGCGCACGAGGGTGGCGTCGGCGTCGGCGTCATCCCTGTGCTGGAGTGAGCCGCGCCGCCCTGGACAGAGACAGAGCCGCGCGCCGGCCCGACACCGCCACCTTCCGCGCGTCGCGGGCCGCGAACCACCGACCGCGAACCGCCGACCGCGAACCGCTGGCCGCGAGCTGCCGGCCGCGTGCGGCGTGCCGCAAGCCGCCGGCTGCGTGCCGTGTGCCTCGTGCCGTGTGTCGCGAGCCGCCGGCCGGCCGGACGGCAGTGGTGTGTCCGGCGTCGGCCGCCGACAGCGGGCCCTCGGCTGTGACGCCGTGACGCTCGGAGAGCAAACTGAGGCGGCACTGCTGGCCTGGGCGTGCACCGCCGGCGTCCCGGCGCCGCCTGCTCGTCGGCGGAGCGGCGAGCGGACATTGTTGTCCGGCCGCGCACGCCGATGGATGGCGTCGGCGGTGGATAGGTGGCGGCGCTGCTGGCCGGGCCGGGCCCGCCTGCGCCGTTACCGCAGCTCCGGGGCTCCGTTGGAGACCGGTTGACCGCCTGTGATATACTGGAGTCAGGTGGCTCTGGATTGCGTCGTTGCGGGAGCCGTTGACGCGACCGCGGTCAGCACGCTGCCCCGGGAGCGGCTGTGTGTTCTATGGACAGCCGACAGGCCGTTCTCATCGTGAGAAGATGGCACGCGCCGTTCGTGAGAACGCAGTGGTCGGCGCATTTCTGGCATGAGCTTACTGCCTTCACGGTGATTGGCCTCGTGGTTTTCAGTCCATTTGCATTGCCAAGTGCAATACAAATGGCACATGCGCGACTGTCAGGTAAGCAGTGTTCACTGCTTCAGCGGCGTGCTGCGCAGATGTCGTCCCTTTGGGCACGTAGAACACTTTGTAATTGGCTGTTAGTGATCACCGATGTGGCCGCTCGAGTGTGTGCAATGTGATTGTGCGAGGCTGCGTGTGTTGCACTTTTCCAACGGTCCCGGCATGCGTAAGGTGTGTGAGGCCAGACGCCGGCTGCTGCAGCGGCGCACTACGGGGATCTTCGGCCCCACCAAGGTCTCGGGGGGGGGGGGGGGGGGGCGTGGTCATCGGTGCCGCTGAAGGACTGATTGGTGGCTGGCGATGTCCGCTGCCTGGGACTGGGGGCATTGCTCGCGTTTTATCTGGATAACCGGTGGAATCACGCTCACTTCGCAAGTAGGATGTGCATGGTGACGGATGGCATCGCCGACCATAATCGTGTTACAAGAGCTGTTCGATGATACTCCATTGTTTCATAGGTGATGATCAGCTGACATATTGTGCACCACGCACCCTTCCCATGTTGGCACCAATAAATGCGATGACCAGTGGCGATGACCGTTGAGGTTCACAGGACAAAGAACTCTTCAAAGGGTATCATCAACTGCTTTGACTTGAAAGATGTCAGCGAGGAGGAGATAGTCGACGGCCTTGCCGAGTTCGGAGTGACAGATGCTCGCCGCATCAAGGTGCGCAGGGGTGCGGAGTTGGTCCCCACCAACAATATCGTACTGACTTTTAATCGTCCTGACATACCATCTGAAGTAAGGGTAGGCTATGTGAAGGTGAAGGTGCGCCTTTTTATTCCGAACCCCATGAGATGTTTTAAGTGCCAGATGTTTGGACATACGAGGGATTTCTGCCGTAACCAGCCAGCATGTGGCAAGTGTGCTTCTCCGGAGCACCCGAGCGATCAGTGCACTGCAGCGAACCCGTGGTGTGTGAACTGTGGGAAAAACCAGAAACCTCACTCCACTTTTGATCGCGCATGCCCGGCGTACGCCAGAGAGAAGGAGATCATCGCACTAAAAACCACGAAGAACATCTCATTTCGGGAAGCAAGGGACTTATATGAACTGAGCCACCCTAAGACATCATATGCCACGGCGACCAAGGCCCATGTCCCACCTGAGGTCTCCTTAGACCAGATGACTGGAACGCAGTTCATTAAACTGCTTACATCGTTCGGGCTGTCGGTTGTACCGGCGTCTCAGGTGCACGCCACAGCATCGGCAACACTGTCGTCCCCCGTCTCGTTGGCACCTTGTGCCCCCTCTGAGGCACAGGCCAGCGCGCCAGTTGTTACCTCGCCGCCCCACCCCACACCAGCCGAAAGCAATGAGTGGACCGTGGCCCGCCGGGGCCGAACCTCTCGGTCTTTGCCAGTAAGCGCGCGATCACCGGCTTCACAGCCGTCCTCCCCAGGAGCATCACGTCCTACAACCCTGAGTGAGACGATGGGACGGAAACTGGACAACCTTGAGCGCCAAGAGGCGGAGAGACGGGCGCGCGAGGCAAAGCGTGCACGCCTTCAGGAGCAGGAGAGGGCAAAGGCAGCCAGTCGGCTGTCGGGTGCGGGCCCCGGGCATGCTCCCTCGGGGGAGGTTGTCCCACCTCCCCGAAAGCGTGTGGAAGCTCCCTCAGGCCCCTCCGACTCGCGGAGAGGCCCGTCTATGGGCACTCCACCACCACCGCCGCCTAGGACCACGGCGTCGCCGGCGCCGGCTCAGTTTAGGACGGGGCGTCCGGAAAAGCGTGGACCGCCGGGGCCGATTTCGCCAACAGATGGCGGTAGTCCCCGGATCCGACCCAGGATCCGCCCGATCTCTTCGGGTTCTGACGACAAAACCCACAACCATGGGCCAGGCTCAAGCGCTGCTGAGTTCTTTTAAAACCTTACAGTGCTTTTAAAGCCTCCTCATTCAGTCAGTTTTACAGTGGAACTGTAGAGGTGTAAGGTCAAGCACCCAGGACTTGCAGACAGTTTTAAGCGCGCACTGCCCGGTAGCCGTGTGTCTCCAGGAGACCAAGTTGGCGCCTGATGCGGCCTTCAGCCTGAAAGGGTACACTACCTTCCGCACTGACATGCCAACAGATACCGTTGCTTACGGTGGCGTTCTTTTGGCTGTACACCAAAGCGTACCTACGCGGCGTCTGGTGTTGAGAACAGACTTGCAGGCTGTCGCAGCAACGGTGAATTTCAACCGCCGCACCATAACTGTCTGCTCTCTCTACTTGCCACCTGGGGTTTCATTTCCATCTGGAGGACTACGAGAGTTAGTCTCTCAACTTCCTCCCCCTCTACTCGTTTTAGGCGATTTTAATGCACATCACACTGTGTGGGGGTGTGCTTCCACGAACACTCGCGGGAGGCTATGTGAGGCTCTCGTGCGTGACGAAGGTCTGTGCGTTTTAAATACAGGATCAAGAACGCATTTTACATTGCCATCCGGACAATCGTCGGTGCTAGACCTGAGCATTTGTAGTCCGCAGTTGGTACCACACTTCACCTGGGATGCTTCAGAGGACCCCCTTGGAAGTGACCACTTTCCGGTCTGGGTTCGGTACCGTGGTGGTACTGTTCTTGGTACTCGACCTCAGCGTTGGAATTTCAAGAAGGCGGACTGGAGGGGATTTGAGACTCGCCTGGACGAAACGTTTTCCAACGATTTCGACTCTGCAACTCCGACTACGGAGGAATTTACGTCTCTCGTGTTGGATGCGGCGAAAGGATGCATTCCGCGCACCTCCGGATGCCCTCGTCGTACCCCTGTACCTTGGTGGAGCGACGAGTGTCGCGACGCTGTTCGTGCACGTCGGAGAGCTTTTAGGGCTTTTGACCGGCACAGCAGCACATTAAACCTCTTGGCTTTCAGGCAAGCACGCGCGGCCGCACGCCATACTATACGAGAGGCGAAACGTGCATCATGGCGCAGCTACGTCAATTTACTAAATCGCCACACGCCGACGTCACAGGTATGGGGCCGCATTAAGCGAATCGCTGGACTGCATCCAGCAGTTTCTCTTCCCGTACTGCGAGTAGGAAGTCAAGACATCACCCACCCAAGTGATGTCGCAGAAGCCATTGGGGAAGCCCTATCAGACCGTTGCCGAAATGGCACCTGCGATCCGCGGTTTTTGCGGCACAGGGCACGATGTGAAACTTCGCAGGTTAATTTTTGTACAGATGACGTCCTGACGTACAACAAACATTTCACTATGATGGAGCTTCAAGCGGCCATTCGCTCGCTGCGTAGTGTAGCGGAGGGGCCCGACCTCATCCACAATGATATGATACGGCATTTTCCTCCCCGTGTACTACGAGCGTTGCTGGCAGTTTTCAACTGCATATGGGTGTCAGGTAACTTCCCGCCAATCTGGCGAGAGGCAATAGTAGTGCCTATTTTAAAGCCCGGGAAAAGTGGGACGAACGCTCTTGACTACCGCCCGATCGCCCTCACATCTTCGCTTTGTAAGCTCATGGAAAGAATGGTGAATGTGCGGCTCTCGTGGACTTTAGAACGCCAGAACTTTTTCACGAATGCTCAGTGCGGATTCCGTAAGAACAGGAGCACGATTGACCATATCTTAACTCTTGATACCGCAGTGCGAGCCGGATTTAGTAGCAAGCGTCATACCGGCGCCATCTTCTTTGACATAGAAAAAGCTTATGACACCACATGGAGACATGGAATTATGATGAAGTTACTCGATTGTGGCATCCGTGGTCACATGGGAAAGTTTTTACAAAACTTTCTGACTGACAGATTCTTTCGGGTGCGTGTTGGTTCTTATCAATCCGACAGGTATCCACAGGACAATGGTGTGCCTCAGGGCAGCGTATTAAGTGTCATTCTTTTCGCAGTGATGATTAACGACATAGGGGACACGCTTCCACATGGGATCAGCCGTTCTCTGTTTGTAGACGACTTTGCTATTTGGTGTAGCTCATCGACCACTCGCACGATGGAGCGACAGCTGCAGCTGGCTGTCACACGTCTGGAGAAGTGGAGTGTGCTCAACGGTTTCCGGTTTTCTACATCGAAGACAACTGCAGTTCATTTCTGTCGTCGTCGCCGTCACTGTCCTGATATGGAAATCAGGCTGTATGGGCAACGCGTCGCCAATGAGAATACCGCGAAATTTCTCGGTATACGCTTTGACCGACGCCTAACATACCGTGAGCACATCAGAAATCTCCGCGACAAATGTTTAAAATCTCTTAACATCCTAAGGTGCGTGGGATGTACGTCATACGGTGCTGATAGGAGGACACTCTTACTCCTATACCGCTCCCTGATTCGTTCAAAACTTGACTACGGCTGTTTTATCTACGACAGCTCATCAGACCTGATCA